ATTCTTTAAGAGCATTAGGAGACAATCATACAAGTGCAGCTTTACACAAAGAATCAGGGGAGAAGTTTTGAATAAGACCAGTAAAGTTCGGGACGTGAGCCACGCTAAAATTTTAAAAGGAGGTATTTTTGTATAATGTATGAATATAGACCTTTGGGTTGTATTGCTATTTGGTGGGTTCATTTTCATTAAATACTTTTCAGTTGCACAGTTCAGAGCACTTTCAACATTTAGGTAACAGCGTTCACATTTCAACGTAAAATAAAACAGTTCTTATAAATAAGTATAAAACATAGAACATATTTCTCCCTCACACGCTGCTCTCCCCCTTGCCGACCGAGGTGATGGGGAAGGTGTACTTCTGCGCGAACCCCTTGTCCTGCACTTCCCCCAAGTTCGAGAGCAGCGGCAACGACTCCATGGCGTGCAGACTGTTTGTGAGCGCCGGGTGGTGGCGGTACCTGCCGTCGTCCGCCTTGCCCCGGTTGGCGTTGCAGACGGCGGGCCCCCTCCCGCCCCCCTGCCCGTGCCCGTGCCCTTGAACGGAGTGGTACACCGCGTCCGCCGGGTGGCACTTCCACCGCTGCTCGGGGCACATCCTGAACACGGTGGCGGTGGCGGCGCCGGCGCCGGGGACCTTGAAGTCCTTGATGTTGTTGTTGCTGGCGTGGCTGCACAGGCTGTTGTCGTCGGCCGACGGGCTGGTCTGCGCGCTCTGCGGCAGGGGGGAGGGCGTGGCGGGGGCGGAGGTGGATGCGGGGGTGCAGAGCGCGAGGCTGCGGCGGCGACGCGGCGCGCGGGCGCGGGGCGGCGGCGGCGCCCGCCCGCGCGCCGCGCCCCCTCGCACGCCGCCCCCGCGCCCGCCCCGCCCCCTCCCCCCGCGGCGTCGCACGTGCGGCAGCAGCTGGGCGGCGTGTCGTAGCGCTCCGTGCGGTCGGAGCTGGAGTCAGACTCGGTGTCAAGGCGGCGGCGCCCGGCGGGGGCGGGCGCGGCCGCGGGCCGCCGGTGCACGTCCGCGCTCACTGTCACCGAGTCGGCCGACGAGAAGGGCGTGCCTGCACGCTGACGTACGCGTCGCTGGACGTGCCGCCGCCGCCGCCGCCGCCCCCGCCCGTGCAATCCTCGCTGGACAGCTGGCGCGCGACTCGAAGCTCGGATCGTCGGTGGAGGAGTGGGCGCGAGGTCCTGGGGCCCGCGCCGCGCGGCCAAGCGACGCCGCGCCGCGGCGGCGGCGGCGGCGTGCGGCGGCAGCGGCGGCGGCCAGGCGCGCCGACCCGCCCCGCCGGCAAGCGGCCCGTCGCGCTCCGTCGCCCCCGCGCCCGCCGTCAGCGAGCGCCGGCAGTTGGACGCGCGGTCGCGCCACGCGCGGTCCACGTTCAGCACCAGGCTGCTCGCGCGCGACGAGATGCTCGACACCTGCGGGAACAGCGCCCCACAAACACAAGCAGATGAAGCGCAAGATCTTGCCTGTCCGGGTGACGCCGCGTCGAAGGCTGTGTTGCCAGTAGGCAATACAGTCTTCGACGCGGCGTCACCCGGACGGCTAAGATCATACACATGACTCTGGCAGCTGAAGCCTACGACTTCATAAAAGGCAAATTATGCCTGGATAGCCGAAGTTGCTTAGGCTGAAAGGTCGAAGCGGTCTCACGCCTGTAGGATCGCGGGTTCGAGTCCCGCCGGGGACATGGATCTTTATGTGTGTCTGGTTGCGAGTGTGTGAGTTCCGATGCCTTTACCGTTACCCCCGAAGTTACAAAACCAATGTTGATTACAGTGGCAAATCAGCAACAAAATAATTGCTTATGATGAAATTACCCTTTATTGACATTGTCAGCCGGGGGAGAAAATGTGTAGCATTTTATGACCACTTAATTACATAATAATTATTATTTTGTGTTCACGGGAGGTTGGTTGGCTTTAAATAAAACCACACTAGTTTGCTAACGTGGCATAGTCACGCATAAGCTACTCACGTGTCATAGATTCGTTTTTCGCAACGTAGTTCAAACATTCCCAAAATAGGAAGAAATGCTTTATAAACAATTGTGAAAAGAAAACTGTTCCTTATTGGCAAATCGAACATGTTCAAACCAATATTTACTACTAGGGAGCTCTTCAAATGACAACCTATGAGTTTGTTATACCTGGAACTGTCAACCTGTTTATACTAAATAGAGTTAGTCAACACCGAGTAAACATTATTTACTTCAATCATGAGGGCTTTTTGATAATTTTACAGCCGTATGTAGGGTTACAAAAATTCAATAATAATATTACAATTTGACCAACATATTAAATGAAAACGAAAATATTTGAAGATGTACTAACTACAAAATATTATATTATACAAAAAATATAGTTATTAATAACTGAGCAACGTAGAAGGTTAGCTTAAAATATATGTTTTTACGGCGTTCCAACCACTCATTTACTCTCGTATGAACATCTAAATAGTGCGCCTCATTACACCCCGTGAACAGGTAAAAAAGAGTTAGAGCTATCGCGTGATTTTTGACTGCCTGCTTCTGAGGAGGCGGTTTTGGTGGGTAACTGAGGGAGTGATGTGAAAGGGGGAGGGACGAGAGAGGGAGCCAGATATTGAGGGAAAGGGAAGGGAGAGAGACTGAGTGCAGAGGAGTGGGGAGAGTGAGGCGAAAGAAATGGGGAGGGGAGGAGAAGGCAGGCGGGCGAGAAGAGGGTGGGGATTTGAGGGAGGGGTGGCGACGAGTTGCGGGGGTGGAGAGGTGTGTTGGGGAGAGGGGAGGAGAGGGCGAGGCGAGCGCTAAGGTCGTTTGCAGGCCGCACCCCCAATATCGAGTCGCAGCGCCTCCTTGGACGAAGCCCGGGCGATAATTACAGAGCGCCCCGAGAAAAATGAGATCTTCCAATATTCACGACGGCGCCGGCAGAGAGCGTTCGGGTCGATGCTTTAATGGCCACCTCCGAACTCTTTCTGCTTTCAACGCCACCTGCGTCCGCAGGGCTAACGAAGGTAAAAGGTTTTGAAGATAGAATTTATATTCTTAAAAAAATCATAGTAAATAATTAACTGCATGTGCTGAGCCGAGAGCTTTAGGTTCGTGTCTCGATAGAAGACGTTTTCTTGAGCCGTTCTCTGGCGATGGTATTACATTCGTTCAATCTATGCATAAGAAATTGTCATTAAATGAAACATTTGTAATTGTGATAAAATATAGGGTAAAGAGAAACAAATATTTTATATTTATTCCGTGGAAATTACCAAGCGAAGTTTAAAGTAGTGTAATCTAATATTTGCAATTTCAATGCCCTTAATTTTTATTTTCTAAACAATGACTGCCCTGTGGGCTAAATTATCACTCACAGTGATCGTTACCAACTGTTGAGATCGTTTCTTGTAATGAATTTGGTATGTAACATAGACTCCCTCCCTCTCCCCCTCCCCCTAAAGCGTAGAGTCTAGCTCTCTCTGACCATTTCGGCAAGGATTCCCACATGGTTCAATTTAAATTTGTCGGCGTCCTAGGGCATTAAATTTTTTTTCTATGTCCACGAGTTATGTTTATGACAACGTAATCTACAAAATAAGAACTCTTGTAATCTTTCAAAACATATTTGTCTATTCTTCTCCAATTACAATTTTTGGTGAGAGGGGTTAGAGGCGAGCAGTTTCTCGAATTCGATGTGAAATTGAACTGACTTATTAGCTTCCGAAAATCGTTTGGAGCCCCACAAATCAAGGGGCCCAATGAAAGAACTGATGGGAAAACAATAGAAAAATTAGAACTCGGGAAAATCATTATAGTAGTTATATGTCGTGGTAGAGCAGTTTCATGTTTCGTAAAATGTTCAATTAATTTTTTACCTTAAATAGTTAATTACAGTCATTTCTTGTACGGTAGGACTATGAAACGAAAAATGTGAAACAATTCTGAAAATTTTACAAAACAATGCTGTCAATAAAAGCATTTTAAACATTCGAATTGTAGAAAGAGGAGAGAGAGGGGAGAGAGAGGGGAGAGAGAGGGGAGAGAGA